GGAAGGGTGGTCAGGTTCGGGAAGGGTGGTCAGGATCCAGAAGGGTGGTCAGGATCCAGAAGGGTGGTCTGTCAGGATCGGGAAGGGTGGTCAGGATCGGGAAGGGTGGTCAGGATCCAGAAGGGTGGTCAGGATCCAGAAGGGTGGTCTGTCAGGATCGGGAAGGGTGGTCAGGAACAGGAAGGGTGGTCAGGATCGGGAAGGGTGGTCAGGAACGGGAAGGGTGGTCAGGATCGGGAAGGGTGGTCAGGATCCGGAAGGGTGGTCAGGATCGGGAAGGGTGGTCAGGATCCGGAAGGGTGGTCAGGATCCAGAAGGGTGGTCTGTCAGGAAGCCGCTGTTGTCCTGTCACTCAGTGTGGCCTCACATCTTGCCCACCCTGGTTCACTCAGCTCTCATGGAATCCCTCCAGGTCAGGATTGTCAGGCATACCTCATGAGGAAACAGAGGCCTGGGGATATCCAGGGACCTTCTGGGATCCCACCACTAGCAAGGGGCGAAGCTGCCCACATACAGGGCTCCAAGCTGCACTTTAGCAGTGACATACGCTGCTGCTCACTCATCCTGTGGAAGTGCCCCAGAAAAGCTGGGTGGGGGTGGGGAAGCCTGTGGTGGGTGGCAATAAGGAGCCAGTCCATGGAGTGGAAGACAGGTTGTCCAAGGTCAGAAATCTGTTGCAGCACCAACAGCTTGGGGGGCAATGGTCTCCGTGGCTACACAGGGACATGGAGACTTTGAAGTTATGGAGGGAGGGGGTACAGAGAGCTCCAGAGACCGCCTGTGTGGGGGAGGGGACAGAACCATCTGCTTGCGGGAGCGGGCAGCCCTGGGAAGATGCTAGGCACCCACAGGCAGCTCTGCCACTCAAGGCTGGAGCCAGGCCAGCGTCCCAGCCTAGACTTGGGGACCTAAACCCCGTATCTCCTATTTCTCCTTAGAGGCCCTCCTGGGGCCACAGGCCTCTGCCTCCAGCCTCCAGGCAGTCCCACTTGTTCTTGGAGGACAGCATTCCTTGTTCGCCAGTGGCCCTGTTCCCTCCTAGATGCCACCTAGAATCCTCCCCGCCCACCAGAGCCCATTTGGTGCTACCTCACTGCCCATAATGCCTCTGGCCCCCACCCTTCCCTCTGTTCCGTGGCCATCCGGGGAGCGGTTGTCGATCACCCATTGTACCCCCATGAGTATTGTTTGTCTTTCTTACAGAGACCTTGACAGGGTCCCCAGGGCCTCCCCCACTTCCTCTTCCCCAACAGACCCAGCCTCCCAATATTTCTCCACAGCACCTTCCTTGCGTAGATAGCCCCAGAGGGGACCCTGCTGCATTCCGTTCCTAAAACACGCCATTGTGGCCTAGCTGCCCTACCACGATGAACGTGTTTGCCCACGTTGATGGCCTCACTCCCTGATGGTCTGGCCCCAGCTGCTGGACTTCCCACCTGGCAGACCATCCCCTCCCCAGCCTGTGGTGCCCCTCCCTGGTGGTGCTTTAGTTTCTGCGGGGATGAGGGCTTTTCCTAGGCTCGCGTTCCTCTTAGTGCTCCCCCATGGTGAACCGTGGTACATGGCTACTGCCAACATAGCCTGCCTCCTCTCCAGCTGTGCCCTTACAGCTGGAGCAGATGGAAGACAGAGCAATGGGAAGTGTTTGGGGGAAGGAACTGGAGAGAGACGCTGGAAGGTGGCATCCGGGAGGGGAGTGACGGGCATCTGGAGGGACTCCCAGGACAGGGCAGGCAGGACCAGTTGGTGAAGGCATCCATTGTCCTCAGAGGTCCTGTCAAGCCGCATGGAGGGCATGATGGCCTCCTACACGCCACTGGCCCCTCCGCAGCAACAGATCGTGGCCATGGAGCAGAGCCCCTACGGAAGCAGCGACCCCTTCCAACAGGGCCTCACGCCGCCCCAAATGCCAGGTGACCACATGAACCCCTATGGTAAGCTGCCCCACCCCATCTGCCCAGCACTGCCCTCTGTCCTTGCCTTACGGGCAGACAGAGGCTCCGACAGTCCTTGCCGCCCTAAATGGAGGGCCCAGGGCCCAGGGCAGTCCAGCGAGCACTGCCAGCACGCCTCCCCGTGACAGGAAGGGCCCAGCCCCAGCCAGCTGGCCTGCCCATAACCCCTGGCCATGGAGCCTGCAGGGCTGCCAGGACCCCCTGAGCCCTGGCCTACACCCAACTCCTGACATCCCTTCTGCACCCCCCAGGGAACGACTCCATCTTCCACGATATCGATAGCGATACCTCCCTCACCAGCCTCAGCGACTGCTTCCTCGGATCCTCGGACGTGGGCTCCCTGCAGGCCCGCGTGGGGAACCCCATCGACCGGCTCTACTCCATGCAGAGCTCCTACTTTGCCTCCTGAGGGCCAGCCGGGCCGCATGGACGCTTGGGCCTGGGCCTAGGGTGGGACCACAGGCCTCTGCAGCCAGCCGGCCCCCCAGCCCACCACCCGCTCAGACTCTACAGACAGCCATACGGTGCCCTCCCCGCGGCCAGCCGGACCTGGCTCAAGTGCCCACTGGGCGCAGCCAGACAGGCAGATGGGTGCAGCCTGGGCAGGGACTGTGTCCTGCCCACAGAGACCGTGTGACCCCTGGGGACCCAGAGCTCTTGGACAGCCACTTGCCTCCCAGCCCCTGACTCCGTCACCGTCTTTCCCCTCCCCACCTCTTTTTTTGGGAAGCTTATATTTGTTCTATTTTTTTTTTTTTAAACATTCTCTCTGTTTCCAGCCAAGCTCCATTGTCCCTGCAAGTCCAGCCCTGGGACAGTGCCTGGTACCCGAGAAACGGTTATACGGGTGTCCTGCGCAGGTGACCACTTCCCCTTCTGGTCAGCGCAGGGGATGGTTTCTGGGTCCAAGAGGCCCAGGGTCACTGTCCCCAGCCCTAGGCTGGGGCAGAGTAGAGGAGGAACCGAGCAGGGGTGACAAGCTCTCTGGCCCTGCCTGGACTAGGAGTCCCAAGTAAGAGGAGGGATGTGGGCAGAGCCCAGAGACCCAAAGGGACAGAGATGCATATGTAAAGGCACACCTGTGCAAACATGCATACACACCTGGGTGCACACACACGCACACAGACGTGGAAGAGGTGGACAGACGCTCTGCAGCCTAGCGACAGTGAGGTCAGTGGGCAGGGCCTGTCTCTGAGAGCAGCTGGAGAGAACGGAAGGAGGGAGTGTCAGGTGTGACTCGGTGGGCCGTATCCCAGGCTCTGTACAGGCAGGGCAGGGGGGCAGTCACAGACCCAGGTCCCAGGCCAGAGATGGAGCCCGCAGAACCAGGTAGAATCGGGCCACGGCAGATGATCCAGATGGAAAGGACCTCAAGAGTCACCGGCTTGACACCGTCTGGTACTTAGTTCCCTTGGCCCTTGTTCTTGGACAGGGCAGCTGCCCTTCTTGTGGCCCCTCCTGACCCTTAGTCTCCTTAGCAGACAGGCTGTACACGGGCAGGTACTGTACTCCTCTGCGGGGTGGCACTGGGTGACCAAGCTTCCCTCCTGACATTAGCCAGCTCACACCAAACAGGCCCCTCCCCTCCCCTGCTTTCCACCTTACCTCTGCTAATGTGGCCCGAGATCCAGCAGGTGGTTCAGGTCTTTGGAAACCCACCCATATCATTGTGTAATGAGCCTCTGGGCCTCGCACTGGTACAGTGACATGCCACAACTCCTCAACATGTGCAGATGGGAGGCTGACTGCTCAGAGCCCAGGGAGGACCCTGGCCTGTACCTAGTTACCTGACCTTCCGTTGCCTCAGTCAGCTCGGGGCATTACTCTGAACCCACTGTATTCTCTCCCTCTGTCTCAGCTGGCTGAGAGGTCAGCCCTATGGGGCTCCCTGCAGGACCCCTGCACAGTGTAGAGCCCCCCAGCATTTCAGCCTCCTGTGTCAGTCCAGCCCGGAGTCCCCTGGACTCTTCCTGCCCAAAGCAGAAGCAATAGTGGGTCTTTCCTTGGCAACCTCCACTGGCCCCCGACAGGCACTGGGTCCTGGGCCAGACGCCCAGGATGCTGTCACTCATTTAATGCTGAATCCTAACCCCCGACATACATCCTGATGTGTGCCGAGCTCTAGCCGTGGGCTCATAAGGATGAGTGTCTCTCTCTCTTTCCACTTTGGGCTCCTGTGTCTGGCTAGTCAGTTGTGTGGGTTTGTTCTCTGTCTCTGGAGAGACCTCAAACCCCCTTAACCCCCTGAGATGTCACAAGATGGAGTCAGCGGGGAAGAGCAGCTGCCAACACAGCCTTCCTGTGTCCCTTTTCATAAAGAGAACATCGCTGATTTCCATGCTGAAGCTAGGGTCCTGGACCAGTTGCTTTCCTGGGATTCACCCTTCCCCCGTCTGGCACAGGCCCCTGGCTGAATTGTACAGGGCATATTTGGGGCAGACCCAGGGTGGGTACCGGCTCCAGGGAGACCTGGCCTTCTCTTAACCATGTTTTAAGTTGGAAGACACAATACCAATGGGCTGTGTAGGTCACCCTTCTGTGGCAGCGGAAACCTGAGACAGGAGAGGGCCAGGGATGTGCTCCAGGCCTCGCAGCCCGGCGGTGACAGAACTGCATCGGGACGGGATAACAGGAGTGTCCCCATCTTCCTTATCTCCCGAAAGGCCCCCACCCAGGACCAGTGTGCCTCACAGCAGCTGCTGGTCCCTAAGGGTCCTCCCTTCCTACTCCGGGGCCTCCAGACTCCCAGTCCTGCCCTGGCCTCTGCTGTCCCCATGCTGCTGTCCCCAGGCAGAAGATGTTACCAGGACACTTCTAAGTTACCAGAGGAGGGACCTCAGCCATCAGGCTGGAGATGCCCTGGCAGCCAGCCGTTCTCAGGATTCCTTCACCATGGCTGTGGCCTGCTGCCCTGCTGAGACACGGGCGCCCACGCCGGCCCTGGACTGCTGCAGGGACTCAGGCTTCTGTCCTGTGAGCAGAGGTGGCCTTTGACCCAGCCCTGCCCAGACCTTGTTAAAGACCCCACTCAGGCTGGGGAGCTGAGGCTGACAGAGGGGTATGGGGCTGGGAGGGCTAGCCTTCAGCCTGAAGGAGCAGAGGGATGTGGGAGTAAGAGGCAGAAATTGAGAGATGGGTAGGGGTATCTCAGAGACTAACAGAGTCCCACCTCCTGCCTGGGGATGTGGCATGTTGAGGCTCAGGCAGAGGAAGGAGCCTGCCCAGGTGTCACACAGGAGGGACAGTACCCCGGCTTTGTCCCAGCCACAGCCCTCTGCGGGCTCATTCCATGAGGCTTCCCCATACTCTGCTGCCCTCAGAGACTCACAAGAGGCCACACACGGGCACCACAGCAGTGTGAGGGTCAGACCAAGGGGCAGTGCAGGCAGCCTGCTGTCGTGGAGGCTTCCTGGAGGGGGTGTGGACGGTGAGGAACTGCCACAACATGAGTAGGTCCAGCAGAGAGGCGGTCTCTCCTTTAGGGACATCCCTTTGAAGTGAGGCCACCACCCCAGTTTACCTGGATGTCCCCCCTGCTCAGTCAGGGAACACAGGGAAGATGAACTCAGCTCTGAGCACCCTTAGGGCCAGGGGGATGCCGCAGCCCAGGGCTGACCACTGTGGGGAAGGGCCACCACACTCACACACACGTACATGCACACACTCACACCTGATACAAGGAGGCTCACATGTGGCCTGGAGCAGGGAAGCAGGAAGGACCCTTCAGCACACGGCCCTTCACAGGGGCGATTGCCAACGGTCTCTGGGCTGCTGCCCTGCCCCGGGGTCCCACCAGAGGGGGGTTGTTGCAGCTGGCTGGGGCCAGGCCTCCCATCGTATTCTTCCGTTTACCTTGTACAGACTGCCCGCCTGCCATCCCCATACACATTTTATTTAATAACTTGTCATTGTTAAATTATTTATTAGCATTACCACATCACCACCCCCCGCCTTCCACTCACCTGCCTCTTCCCACAAAAGCAGAAATGGAAACAATGAGAAAAAGATGAGATGTTGGTATATTTGTAAATAAACAACCTGTACACGCCCGTGTGGCCTCTCCTTGGGGGATGGGGACTGGGCCTAAGAGGGACCTGCCTGTGACACTGCTGGACTTCCCTGTGGCTGCCAGGAGCAGCAAGTCATGGACACAGGGTTTGGGGGCGTTCCTGGTCTTGCCCGACTCCACCTCCTAGTCTCCTCCTCCCTTCCTTCTTGTACCACCTCAGCCCCTTGCATCTCCAGCCTTGAGCCCACGCAGTCATCCGTCACCATCCCCCTGCCCAGTTACCCAACACTCACTCACCTCTTCCTGCACTCAACCGGCCCTTGCTTAGGAAGGTCCTTTGAGTGCCAACCAGGCTGAGAAGCAGGGAAGTGATGGTCACCACCAAGGATGGAGAAAGCCTGACACAGTGTGGGTGAGGAACACTGGAGCCTTGGTCCAGGGGCACCTGGTCTCATGGGGGGTGAGGATCAGGGAAGGCTTCCCGGAAGAGGCCATTCAGCTGAGATCTGAAGTTACTAAGCGGGACAGGGAGCTGGGTGAGAGGGTTCTCTGGGAGTGGTCCACGCTTCCACATCTTGGAGGAGGCAGAATCTGAGTGTCTTAACCAGAAAGGTAGCCAAGGTTGGGGGCCGGAAGAAGGACGCTGCTGAGCAGAAAGGTGATAATATGATTGGCCTCGGAGAACTGAATGGGGGCAGGAGGTCAGCTGTGTCACTAAGGTGAGAGGTGACAGCAGCTTTGACCAGAGTGATGCCCGTGGAGAGCAGGAAAAGTCCAAACTCTCAAAGTGTTCAGGTTACATCTAGGGTTTTGGTCCTTGCTACTGGGGTACAAGAGGAGAAGATGGAATGGGGAGTCTTTGGTTTGAGGTATGTGAGCTGAGCATGCCAGGGACGGCCCCAAATAAGATGATATGCCAGGGACGCCCCCAAATGAATGGGGTGACATGGACCACAGCTGGGCCCCTGAGGAGCTAGAGGCCAAGCATAGGGTCTCTTCACCGAGGCACAGTTGGGCAGTTTAGCCAGGGAACAGAACACACCAAATAGAGTGGCTCTGGTGGCTGCCAGGGCCACCTGAGATCCACCATAGCCCCTCTTACTCTGCCTGTGAACACCAGCGCCCCCTAGAGGCCTGCTCCTCCACAGCCTCTGCTGAGCTGGCCGATTTGGGTAATTCTGGCAGCTAAGTGACTTCAGAGATTCCATTTCCTCAATTTGTGCCCCCCAACTACCCTGAAAGGCAGGATTCCAGGCTTCAGAAGGGAAACTGAGGCCCAGGGGAGAAGGTGATAGGTCAATATAACAAAGTTAACACGAGGAAAAAACCAAGATTGGAAAGCAGCTTTGACCACAGACATTTCAGCCTTACCACCCCCCTCTATCACCCCCATCCCCACCTCCACCCCTCCACCCCCACACCCCCACTCCCCTGCTGCTCCTCCCCGGGGTGGGGCACTGTTTCTGGCCTTAGGATCTGATCCTCCAAGGCCAGACCAGACACCTGGAGACAAGGGGATTCTCCCACCTTCAGAATCTAAGTCCCATGGCCCAAGCTCACAGCTGGGAGGCGGGACTAAACAGAGCCTTGGTGGCCGAGCTCCAAGCTGGAACTGGGCGGCTTGGGGCAGGGTGAGCGGGGGAGGGCTTCCATGTTCCACTCCTCAAGAGCAGTGGGCTGCCAACCCTCTAGCCTACAGCAATGTCTAAAATCCTGTCACTAAAAAATGTGGGGCTGGGGGCTGGGCTAATCCACTGATGCCTTGCTACCTGCCTGTCACCCCCCGCCCCCCAGTCCAGGTGGAAGGCATGGACGAGGGAGTGAGAGAGGGAGGAGTCCCCTCCTCAAAACCCCCATTCCTGGAGGTTGCAGGACACTGATGGCTTCTCAGTGTCCCCAGATTATACCAGGCAGACCTTGTCCCCAAGTCACTGCAGGACAAGGGCAGTCTGTTCACCGCTTTGAGTTCTGATCCAACCTCCAGGCTTGGCTGGAGGTGAAGATAGGGCCCGGAGTGCCCATCCCCATCTTCTCTTTCTTCCAGGACCCAGGTCTCCTGGGTCAAGTACGAGCAGTTAGTTACTCAAAAGACACAAGTGACTTGATGCGGGGAGGCAATTACCACAGTGCTGGCACTCCGGGGAAACCTCCTGGAAGAGGAAGTGCTTGCCTTGAACATACCAAGGAGGTCAGAGTAGAGTGAGCAAGACAGAGATCAAGGACGTTTGGGAAGAGGGAACAGCGGGGTTGAGGCTGAGGCAAGAGCCACAAGAGGCATGGAGGAAGGGCACACCCCACTTGAACTTAGAGTCTGGAGGTCAAAAATGGAGACGGGAGATCCTGGGGGTGCCTGTGAACACAGGGGACATGCCAGGGTCAGGCAGGAAAGGAGGAACAATGATATGCCCAGGCTCCAAACCAGCAGGGTTTGGGTCAGCACACCGGGGAACTACTGTGTAATGCAAAGAAATGTTTGCATTCTCAAATGGACATGGGGGAGGAAGAGGAGGAGGGGGAAGAGGAAGAGGAGGAGGAGGAAGAAGAGGAGGAGGAGAAGAAGAGAAAGGAGGAGAAGGAGGAGGAGGAGGAGGAGGAGGAGGAGGAGAAGGAGAAGAAGGAGAAGAACCCACATCCACTCCCTGGATGAAGAATATGTGCGTTGCCCATCCCTTGGAGCCCTGGATATCCCTGCCAGGGTCCCGGGAACCTCCACCTTTTCATTTGGAAAATTGACCATCAAGTGACATATTAAATATTCTTAGCACAAAATCTTGCAGGGACATCTCCTCCATATGACAGAGCATCCATGTGGCTTTCTGTGAAAAACTCCCCACTCTCTTTCTTCACCCTCTATTTTAGTAGCTACTAAATCCCAAGCCAGAATTTCTACACTGAACCTGCAGTCACCCATCAGGCCACGAGGTGGCACTGGAGAGTCAGGCAGGTCATCATCCATGGGCTCCCAGTGCTTTGCGGAAGGGACTGCTCAGGAGCCTGAAGATGGCCAACGGGGAGAATGAGTGTCAGGCACTGCGGGGTCCATGTCATGCGTGGTGCTGGAAATTCCCTGCCCTACACCGTGTAGAAGTAACTGTAAAAATTCCATGTCACAGAAACAGGAGGGTCAGACGGACCTTACAGTGATCCTCCCAATCAGGGCCCCGTGAGAACTCTGGGAGGGCAGTGCTCTCCGAGACATGGTACCTCTCCCAGGACAGCACATCCTAAAGGTCCCATAGCCTCCTAGCACTGCCACAGGCCAGTGAACACCAGCACACGCGTCCTTAGGAGACTCACTCCGTCTATATGAAGCACCCAATTTCGCAATGCCATCCTATTCTATAGGGGGCAGATTTTGAACTGGTGCTTAAGAGGAGAAATTGGAGGTGTGTTTTCTTTGCAATAACCTCCAACACGATATTGTCAGACATTCCTGGAGCAAACGAAATTATAAATGTGGGCTGAGAATAGTTTAGAGACAGAGCACCTGTCTGGCATGCAGAGGCTCTGGGCTGCATCCGCAGCGCTGCTCAAAACATATAGCATACATACACTGCCACACACACACACACACACACACACACACACACACACACACACACACATGCACACGCACACGCACTATGCCAGTGTGTGCGGGAGCACATGTTCATGTGTGCATGTATATGTGTAGGCCAAAGGACAACCTCCATCACTCTTCAAGTGCCCATTCAACTTATTTTATTGTGTTGTTTTCGAGACCGGGTTTCTATGTATGGTGATAATATGGAGCATCCCCGAGAGAGGTTCCTGGCATCTCAGCTCTCATGGTCATGAGCATCTGCATGGAACAGGGTTCTGCTCCTGTGTCTATGGAAGGGTGTTTCATGTGCAGCCATGGTCAACAGGAGCTATGGAGTGGCTGTTTTGCTTATAATGCGCCCAGCCAACGCTGAGGAACAATTATACCTACGACCATGACAGTAACAGTAGTGACGGCTCCTCTGCTCATGAGTCAGGCTCCGGCTATTATCTCCTTTAACTCCCATTCAAGGTGGCATTGTGCCCCCATTGTATAGATGAAGATACTGAGGCTCTGAGAGGTGAAGGAGCCTCTTCAAGGTCACAGAGCTAGAGAGCGGCAGTTCCTGGGGCACCAGTGTGGTCCAACAAGCAGTGTTGCATGGAATGAAAGAGAGAGCCCACATTTTCTACAACTCTGCATTCTGGAGGGGTGGGCAGCTTCAGCAGCCCAGGCTCTAAGCCAAGGAGCACCATGGAGTGGCCTGAGGGCAGGCGAGGAGATTTCTGCAGGAGAACCAGGGTAAGGACTCAGCCAAGGCAGAAAGCTGTGGCTCTGGCTCAGACACAGAGCAGGTAGAGAAGACTGCCCCGAGGAACCCATCCTCCCTGTCTCGGTGCAGTCCTGGTCACCCCAAGGCACCAGCTGCATCTTTCGCTGTACAGAGGGGAGCACAGAGCTCAGAGTGGCTTGCAAATACAGGGCACATGGCACATGTGAAAAGATGCTTCAGAGCCGGGCGGCGGTGGCACAGGCCTTTAATCCCAGCACTGGGGAGGCAGAGCCAGGCAGATCTCTGTGAGTTCGAGACCAGCCTGGGCTACAGAGTGAGTTCCAGGAAAGGTGCAAAGCTACAGAGAGAAAAAAAGAAGAGAGAGAGAGAGAGAGAGAGAGAGAG